CATTTAAATTGTCTTCTATCACTGACTCTAAAGTGCTCACACAGTAACAGCATATTGCAACAAATGAATGATGCTATAGATAATTATTTCACAAACAAGTGATTTGTGAAACCTGTTTGGCAGTATATATTGGTTAAAATACACAGTGACTGTGAAACTAATGTTTGAATTAACTCGACTGTAATGTGATCTTATCATCATGGGTGATTTCAAACAAACAAGTATATTTGCAGAGTGCTTAATGTGTACGTTGACTAATGGTAGTCTACATACATGTAGTTGGATACACAAACATACATGGATACACACAGACATGGACACACACACACAGAACGATCCCCATGGACCAACAGAAACCTCACACACAAACCCTGAAACAGAAAACAACCCAACACACACCACACAACAACACACACACACACACACACACATTCCATAACAGTTTCCTCACAAGAGTGGAAAGAAACCGAACCCTGGTCCTTAAAGGAAAACAAATGGAGGTTCTGCCAAGCCTGTGGCTGAACTGTGAAGGAAAACTCCCTCCCTCCCTCTCCACCTCCTCCCAGCCTGGCCCGCCTAGCATTGGTCCAGCACTATATCAGGAGCCTGCCTCCCTCTATCAAACTCTGCAGTCCTGCTACAGTCTACAGCTGTATAACAGTCCTCTCTCCTCGTGTTCTTTCTTGATCAGCAGATACTCATCCATCATGTATTACAACCAAAGCCTCAGCGGTGGTCCCACCATGATTACCAGACAGAGCCGCAGCTACACATCAAGTGCTGCTCCCAAGGCTCACAGCGTGTCAGGGCTCAGCTTCAGAGCCCCCCGCATCGCTGCTACCAGTGTGCGCACTGTCTCCTCTGGATATGGAGGTGGCATGGGATACGGCAGCGGTGGGTTCGACCTGTCTAACGCCCTGGACCATAGCAATGTGCAGCTGAACGAGAAGGCCACCATGCAGAACCAGAACCTGAACGACCGTCTGGCCTCCTACCTTGAAAAGGTCCGCTCTCTGGAGGCGGCCAACTCTAAGCTGGAGATCCAGATCAGAGAGTACTACGAGAAGAAGGGCCCTGCAGCAGAGAGAGACTACAGCAACTACTGGGCCATTATCAATGACTTGAAGGACAAGGTATAGTGTGTGCTGGCCTCGACAGCTTTAATACCAGACAAGTCAAATGTTTGCTGTGCTGTTAATGATTACCAAGGGAGGGTTTTAAAAGGGTAGAGACATAACTGGAGTCATGCATGATCCCTTGGGCTCCTAAATCTGTGGGGTATTGATGGACAATTAATGCTCAAAATAAGCAAGAAAATGTTGTATGGAAATAGTGTGACACTACTGTGCATTGTAACGTGACTTCAAAGGGTGATGCTTCTGATGCAACAGAAGCTTTGAATGGGAAGTTAACTGATACATTAGTGTGCCACTCTAGCGACAGATCAAAATCTAAAACCAGTGTATCATACTGTGTAACTGCACTATTAACTATTTAATTGAGACTGTTGCCTAAACAACTCCCATTGTTCTTCTCTAAAGATCGCTGCCGCTACCATCGGCAATGCCAACATCCTCCTCCAGATTGACAACTCCAAACTGGCTGCTGATGACTTCAAAACCAAGTAAACACAAATCTTGATACTTCTGTGGATCTTCATCTTGGTAATGTCAAACAAATAGGCTCAAGTATTGTAGTTGTCTCATATCAGTGTTCTCTACTCTCCAAACTAATTAGATTCGAGCATGAACTCATGATGCGCCAGTCAGTTGAGGCTGACATTGCCAACCTCCGCCGCCTGCTGGACCAGACCACCCTGACCAAGGCTGACCTGGAGATGCAGATCGAGGGTCTGCAAGATGAGCTGGCCTACCTCAAGAAGAATCACGCAGAGGTGACTGAAGCACATCCTCTAGCTATAGGGACTCCTGCTCGCTATGACAACAGGAGCTTACTTCATCACACCTGTAGAACTGTTTGAAACTCAGCAAATAGATCTTAATGCTCACTTATTTTGTCCCTTACTTGTTTAGGAGCTGGAAGCCTTGCGCTCTCAGCTTACTGGCACAATCAACGTGGAGGTGGACGCCGCACCCCAGCAAGACCTCAACAAAGTCCTGGAGGAGATCCGCGCCCAGTACGAAACCATCACTGACAAACATCGTCGCGACCAGGAGTCCTGGTTTAATGAGAAGGTGAAAAGATTTTCCCATAAACAAAGGCACCATATCCCACACGTTGCAAATGACTGGGTTTACTCCCCCAAGAGTCTAACATGTCATTAAACATAATCTACTGTCAAACTAAGATGAGTAATCACCAAGACTTCTTCTTCACAACTGTGTCTTTGTTTCATGCTCTAGTCGGCAGTTTTGACCAAGGAGGTGGCCAGCAGCACAGAGACCATCCAGACGTCCAAGACAGAAATCAATGACCTGCGGCGCACTCTGCAGGGCCTGGAGATTGAGCTGCAGTCTCAGCTCAGCATGGTGAGAAAGAAAACAACAACCCTGAACCCAAACCATCTGTTCACATCTCACTGATCTTGCCTTATATGAGCAAAATTCCCAGATTGCTGTCTTGTCAGGGGAAATGGAGAAACAGACAGATAGAGGGCGAAAGAGCATGCAAAAGGGAGGGTAAGAAGAAGGCTTTGTTGAAAGAATGAAGGGAGGGAGAGAAAGATAAGAGTGATTGGAGCTGTGGAGAAGGGAGGGAAGGGCTTCTGCTGACGAAAACATTTCACAGACATCTGCTCAAATTCTGGAAGACATAAAAGAGCTTGAAGAAAGCTGAAGGAATGCTGGGCTGGATGACCTAAAAGTCAGACTCCCATGAATTATCTGTGCCCAGCTGGAGTAAATCATTCAACACTCCCTGCCAGAACAGCACTGTGCTCCTGTAAAACAGTGGAGCAGCTTCAAGACACATGCATTCAAAACCTTATACATCCACAGTTAATTATTCCTTAATAAATGAAGGGAGAATGCTATACAAACACAGACATGCTTTTGTGTCTGTCTGACATAATCCAGGGTGTGGTTGGTGGTTACAGACTATAGCTTTAAATTGTCAGAACGATAGCAAAAAGATGTACAACCGTAAACTGGTTTGCAAGTATGAACAATAAAACTGTGTCGCAATCCATGTGCATGAATTCAGCTCCCTTTTCCTCCCCCACCAACAGAAAGGGGCTCTGGAGAACACGGTGGCAGAGACAGAGGGTCGTTACAGCGCCATGCTCGCCGGTTACCAGAACACAATCAACATGCTTGAAACAGAACTCTCCAACGTACGCAGCAGCATCGAGCAGCAGGGCCAGGACTACAGGATGCTGCTGGACATCAAGACCAGGCTGGAGCAGGAGATCGCAACCTACAGGAGCCTGCTGGAAACAGAGGAGTCCAGGTAGGCACAATTATAAAGACTTATGAGACCGTTTACACCAAAGTGCATTCATTTATTTTGAAAATAATGCAAATGCTGACTTCACTCATTCTTTTCTCAACTTTTTTTCTTTCCTCTGCCTCATTTCAGACCCATTAGCACAGGTAAGTGACGTCTGTTTTAATAAGACATTACATAACAACAGTGTAGTCAGTGTAATAAAAGCTTGAAGCACTGACATCATGATTTTTTCCTTCTTTTTAACAGGGGGCTCAAAGACCACAGTCACAACCACCACTGTGCGTACCTCCAGCTAGGAGGTCCAACTGGCAGGACAAGCTGTTCTCAGACACACACATACACACACACACAAAATCCCACTAATGAAAGCTGTTACACGAGATGAGTGAACTGTACTGAAAAAAACCCCAGAGAATGAGAAAACTGAGACTGTTGAAAGTGAAGCCCGTGTTAAAGTTTAGGTATGAAACAACACTTAAGAAAAAAAGCCGGAATTATTGTGTGTGTTTGTGTGTGTGACCTGTCTGAAAAATAAAACTGCTGGTCAATACAAGATGTGTTGTTTTGTGACTTTACTGGTCTTTCAAGGCCTACATCTCTCTCAATAACATCGCTCTGTTTATGCAGTTGTCATGGCAACAGCATTACATTCTGGGAGGTGGGATGTGGAGTGGCGGAAATCTGTGTTATGTAACAGGGCTGTTGTCAGGAAAGGGTGAACAATGGTTAACAGCTCCAGTGTGGAAAGCATTAGGATTTAGAGAAAAGACCACTCAGAAAGTTGTGCTGAACGCCCAGAACTTAAACAAAGCAAGAAAAAGTGCAAGTTATGTGACCCTAGGGTTTGCCTGAAGAGGCTTTTTAAACAAGACACACCCAAATGGTTGACTAATCTTTGCCCTGGAGGCTTTCATCACAGTGTACCATGAAGTCTGTCTAACTCTTGTCACCTAGTAACAAGAACACACACTGCTCAGGACAGAAATACTGAGTGGGAACGCAAACACTGACTAAGTGAACAGAGAGTCATTGTAGAAACAGGTGCTATCTGTACTGCACTTTGGCCTGTTATATGAACTCCGATTGATAGCAAATGAGCAATGAGCTGTTTCATCAAGGGTGAGGTTCCTGAGATGCTGGTGACTCAATGTTTGTTCTGTGTGAAAGATAGGCAGCAAATTGTTAAGTTGTGTGTTGCAGAGAGAGGGAGTGAGGCAGAGAGGGAGAGAAAGTGGCATTTGAGCCTTTGCACTCTGTAAAGGTCAGTGGTAAAGCCTCTGAAATCACAGTGGAATCCTGTGAAAAGTTCATAATTCTCAAATGATGGTGTAATGTTAGTTTTGGAGAGGAGAGAGATTAGGGAGAGGATCAAATAGCAGAATCCAACCCCCTCTGAGGAGCTTCACCCACCCATATTTGGACCCTTTTTGCTGCACATCAGCATCTCCCCCACATTGTTATAATGATAGTTGATGACAAAGCCCTTCCAGTTGAGCTTGTAATTTGACATGAAAATGCAAAGCAGAGGTCATAAAAAGATGGTGAACCAACATCAGACCATTTTCCTCACATTAGCATTTAAACCAGTAGCCCTATTTATTGAGAGAAAACTGTGCAGTAAGTAACTGAACAGATCACGAGCAAACTAATGACAAACTTTATGAGTTCCTCAATGGTGTCACTTACTGACATTTTAGATGTATTTGTATATTATCATGCATTGCTCTGGGCAGACTCACTGAGAATGACTTGTCAGTCATAAGGTAGCCACACCCTAAAGCATACACTGCTTTATTATCTATTTTACTGTAAATGGGACCATAATTTATTAAATGAACATCATGCTGTTTGGAAGGAGACTGGAAACTTGCAATTGAGACCATAAACCCATTAGGAAATTATTTACAGAGCTAATAAATGAATGAATCAATAAATAAATAAACGTAAGAAGTAGGGTAATTTCTCTTCTGCATCACAACTGCTCCTCAAACAGCCCAGAGTCCACCACTGCAGTAAGATGTGCGCTGAACAGGGCATCTTACTTTAAAAAAGTAATTAGTTATAGTTACAAATTAC